TTGTACAGCATTCAGGAACATCGGCATGCTGTGTTGTCGTTCCAGGTGTTGCTCTACCAATGAACCAAGCGTCGCAGCGAACGCAGTCTCCAGAAGGTCAACTCCGTTATCTCCAATTTTGAAAAATAAGTAATCCTCCGGCGACTCGGCGTATTGACTAGACAACTTATATCGACCATCCTTCATCCTGTCCACTCGCCAGCCGAACAATAGGTAACAAGCTTGACGATACTCTTGTGACAATGATTTGAAGGCCTCCTTGAGGCGAGCAGTTCTGATCTCGTGTGTTTGTTTCATCTCTTCTATTTCTACATATAAAAAAAATATGAAGCGTGTGGTACGGAGTAGGAGAATTAGTTGTGAAGTTTAGGAAATAAAATGTGTAACATAATATGTGTAAATTTGGTGCATCGATGGTTGGTATCATGAAAGTATATATCTAACATTAAGAGATATTCCTTGTGTAAAATAAAATGATAATGTAACAGAAATATAAAAAGAAAATAATTTGAATAATTATTTTCTTCACTAGAAATATGATGTAATGATAAAAATCAGGAATGAAATAAACGATGAAAATCGATACATAGTACTACTTTAAATTTCATTATGTTAACCCCTTGCCTGATTTAAATTCCGATGGCGCGTGCCATAATCAACAGCACAGTCGGTCACTCGTCGAACCATTTCGTCCGAACACAGCAAAGAATAACAAGGAACTGACAAGTCGAAACTTGTGAGAGACTTGTTTACTTGTTGGACCTCATCTACAAACCACGCCTCTCGTCTATGCTGCTCATGTTTGGCTCGATTTCCTTACAGTGAGTGTCACATGATACTATAGGCGAAGGGGTTAACAGTGAGCGACTATATTAGATGTACATGACGTCGACCTTCCTAACAAACATTTCACAAGGGAACAGGTAAGCGAAATGTGTTCCTATACTACTTTAGATCGCTATACTTTACAAAATTGTTTCTGAATACTTTAGGCATATATAAATACTCAGAACTATATTTTTTTTTACTGTTAGCCTTTATTTTTTACTTTATTTGCTACATTTTATTCTTCTTTAAGCTATTGAGCATTTATCTATTTGTCTATATAAAGATACATAGTGGAATTGAATTGAATTCAAATTCCAGTACAATTATGCCTCATCTTTTCTTTAGATAATAATTATAACGGTAATAATTAAGAATTACCTTGCAGTTGAAGGGAGGATGACGACGTGCCATCTCCACCCTGCTGCCCTACTTTTGCCCTTAACTCCTCCAGTTCACGTAACAGTGCCTTCTGCTTCTCCTCTGCCTGTTGTTCTGCTATAGCAGCAGGATTCATAGTGAAGTGTAGTATTTGTGCGTTACAATTGAAGTCACCCTTCAGTGCTCGATGTTCCAATTCACCCTTCAATCGCTCGACTTCTTCTCTCAACTTATTGCACTCGTCTGCTTGGTTATAACCCTCGGCGGCTTGAAGATCACTTTCTAATTTGGCAATTAATTCTCTGAAACCATAGATCTGTTTAGAAATCATGTTAATAGCACAAATGAAAATTTCCAAATAGAATTTGAAATTACCTATAAACATCTATAGTCCGTTCCAATGCAGGTATTCTTTCATTTATTGCATTATTGCTGTCTACAGATATCTCCTTTTCATACAAGTCCAATTGCTGTCGATAACTATCTCTTTCCC